AAGGGGTCTTGGAGTCTCTGGGAACCCTGGAGTAGGTCCGGCCTTCTTGTCGCTGGCTTTGCCCATCTCCGAGTCGCAGTAAGCCTTCTTCGTGGCATCTGCCTGTGGGCTCCGGGCTCAGAATTGCGGATTTAGGGTTAGGGCTTGAGGGTTTAGGGTCTATAGGGTTTAGGGTTCAAGCCTAGGCTTTAGAGTTTAGGGTTTAACCCTAAACTGTAGGGTTTAGTGGCAATTAGCCTTCTTCCGAGCATGCCGATTTGCATCGTTTCTGAACCTTTTCGCAGGGTTCTGTATGTCAAGTCTTGAGGTTTTGAGTGTAGGGATGTAGGGGACCCGATGAACAGAGCATGCAACCCTAAAAACCCCAAACCCTAAACCCTGTTAAGAAAAACCCTAAACCCTAAACCCCATTAAGAAAAAAAAAACCCTATGAAAGAAGGGTTCGGGGCAGAGCCTGGAGGTCGTCTAATGTAGGGTCCTTAATAATTAGAATAGGGTTTAGGGTTTAGGGTTTAGGGTTTAGGTTCTTTTTGTTTAAGGTTTAGGGTTTAGGGTTTCATAATCAGAATAGGGTTTTGGGGCCATATTATACCCATAGTTATAACAAGGAACCCCCCAAAAGAGTAGAGGTAATTCTTTCGGCCCCTACAGTAGGTAGGCAAGCATCCACCCCGCTTTGACGTGGGCAGAGAAGATTGGCTGATGAGACTGAGACTTCACGTCACTCTCTGGTCAAGATGCATCAGGCTTATGAGAGGGTTTAGGGTTTAGGGTTTAGGGCTTAAGGGCTTGTGATTCATACCGGGAAAATGCTGCAACTTCTACATGGAGTTTAGGCTGATGGGCTACGGATGAACGTAACGCCTGAGATTCAACACTGAACCCCAAAAACTAGCAGAGCCCCGAAGTCCCAATCCCAAAGCCTCTAAACCCTCAACCCTAAAAACCCCAGCCCTACACAAAACCCCCACCCTACACCCCAAGTCCCCAAACCCCACCCCGAAGCCCGGAAGAGCCCAAAAGGGCACAAGCTTCTTCGCACGCCCTGGATCCAAATCAGTGGTCCCCGAATGGGTTTCTTTAGGATGTCTACCTGCACTTCCATTGACCATAACCTGCCATTTTTTGTCGGGTTTTGGGCCTTTGGCTAGAGTCCAGTTGGGCAGTTCTGGGTAGATTTGTACTTTGTTTTCGCGTTCCCCAAGGTCTCATTTCGCGGTGTGGGGTTTCAGTGGGGGGGTTCAGGCTTGCGGGATGGAACTCAGGGAACTGTATTATAGTGTTTCGAGGTTCAGGGCTTTAGGCTAGAGGTTGGGAGAATTTCGGTGCAAGATTCGGGTTGCCGTTTAAGAATAAACCGGCCAAACCCTTGACCGCCGAACCTTACGGCCCGAAACTCTAGACCGGACCTTCCCACCAGCGGTAGACCCCAAGTGTCCACAACCTTGAAAATCCCCGAAGCCCCCAGCTTTTTTTTAACACACAAAACAACAAACAAAAACTGAACCCTAAACGACTAGAACCCCCTCAAACCCAAAACTCTAAGCCCAGACAAAACCCGTTTTCAGTTGAGGCGGAGCCTGCAGGTTCTCCTTCATCGTGGAGATCATGTCTGTGATCATCCTCGGCTACGGACTTTCGCAGATTCGGATTTTGTTCAGGGCTTCAAGTTTACAAGCAACTTCAAAAAGCTGAAGTCTTGCCAAAAGCCTATGACGCAGCACAGATAAAGTCCACAAGCTTGGAAAAAGAATCCCCACGAAACCCCTGATCGCAGCCTGCGAAAATCGTCCGAGGCGCGTCTTAATCTTCTCGAAGACGTCGGCGGAAGCCCCGGCCTAGACGCATCCGCAATTTTAAAAAGTTTTGTGGGGCTGAAGATTCTTTGGGAGGTATGAGCGAAGGTACTTTAGTACATAACTTATGAATCGTCTTAGTTGCGCGTTGGCCTCGTGCTTACAACCCGCCGCGTACGCCAAGCCGCTCCTGCAACCGAACCCTGAACCCTAAACCCTAAACCTTAAACCCTAAACCCTAAACCCTAAACCGTCGCTTCTGTCGGGTCCATTCCGAAGCGAGCAGAGCTGGTTTATCAAGCTGGTTCGCTCGCTACTGGCTGCTGGATCTCTGCCAATTCATACATTAGGGTTTTTAAGGTTTAGGGTTTAGGGCTTGGGGTTTGGGGTTTAGGGTTTAGGGTTCAGGGTTTGGGGTTTAGGGTTTAGGGTTTAGGGTTTGGGGTTTAGGGTTTGGGGTTAGGGTTGAGGGT